AATATAATATTAACACTATACGTTGGTTTGGTTTTACATATTTTAGTTAATAATGAAATTGATAATTACAATTTAAAATTCTTATTCTCTTCCGTACGAATTGTAATAGATACGAATAGTGTTCGAATGCTTCAGACTCTGGTAGTCTTTGTATGTACTCTATACAGGTATACGGAATGAAACATGATGAAGGGTATAGTGTAATAAATTGGGTACAATAAAAACATTATTTATGAAATAATACATGTGTATTTCAAACTTGCACAAGATAAAAGCGAATAAATTGTTGTGATAACCGATGTAATTAATTCTGATACCGGGTCAAGTATCGTGCGGAGAAATATATCTTTTCATTACGTAACCAATTATCTGTTCACGGGGCGAAATCGTTTAACGAGAGTTGTTTGTTTTTTCATTGGATTATTAAAACGTCTCATTTAATTGTCTTCCTGATAACATGATTCATTTTTCTTGTTGACCAAAGCCTCGCCCATGCTTCAACAGGTCACGAACATGCTGTCGTGTATCGTGAATCACTATTAAGTTTACCTCGAGTAGGTATAACTATTATAAAAAATATACATTTGTTGTATTTATTATGTATACGGGAAAATTTATATAACGTATGTACATTTTCAGTTTAAGTTTTAATGTCTGTCTGGCATGTTTTGAACAAATGAAGAATTTTTGGGGCTAAATTATAAATGAAAAAAAATGTGATCCAGGTGTGATGCGGAAGGTCCGCACGACTAACTTCCCAGAGGACAGAATAAAAATATCATATTGACCAGTTCTTCCTCTCTAAGCCAATAATTAAAAAAGGAGCAATAATAAGGTCGTAGAATCAGTTTATGAAAACAATTTACCAACGTTTCGCCCCTTGTGCGGGGTTGTTTTAAGACTACAGAGATTATTGAGTTAACTCACAATTGTTTCATATTTATATAAATTACTTGCTATAGTTTTCTTAGTTAAGTAAAAACATTCAATCGGTGTGAGTGCAACAATGATACATCAAATAATAAGCAAAACACTCAAGTCCAAAGGACGATAAAAATAAAATAAACTGATTAGAACGGGTAATTACAATTGAGTATATAAATAAAATAGTAAATAATATAAGCAGTTTTTAAAAAGTATTGTAGCGAACACGAGCGTGTTTGTGTGCGATCGGGCACATGTGTGCGTGAACGGCTTATCGTCGCGGGCGCCTTTCTTCATGTGCGCCGTATTTGTAAATGTGTGTTGTACCTGCGTTCTAGTAAAACAGTTCAAAGAAAAAATAAACTTTCCGGATATTTCCAGAATGTTTCCGAAAGTAAACAAAAGAGTATTTAAAGGAAGAGACGATCGCCGAGAGAGGAAGAAATAAATTGACCGGTATATATCAACAGTAGTGTAAATAAATAGAATAATTCATAACCTAAGTTTAGTAATAATTTAATAGTGTAGTAATAATAAGTTCTTCAATAATTAGTGTAAATAAATAGTTTTTATCNAAAAAATGTTGCGTCTTAACCAATTGTTAAAACGCTGTATTAAAATACATATTGTAGTTCGACTTAATTTTTATTTTTTGTGCAAGTACAAAGTTTTTTTTTTTTTTTTTTTTTACAAGTCAACTGTCCTTATTGGAGTTCAATTTTTGTCTCTTTTAAAACTTAAGTTAAAATGTATCCAGTACCGTCGCCACCCCTCACCCTCGGTTACTTAGTCAGGGTCACTTCATGACGGTACGGTGCGCTTTCTAAAAAACTACAACTTATAATTTATGACATGACCGATCACCCTCGGCATGCTGTTAAAAAATAGTCCCCTAAAAATTGTTCCTGCACTTTCTAAATTTACAATCTATTTACAGTTCTTTACAATTTCGAGATTTCTCTTTCTAAGAAAAGGTCTCAACACTGTAAAATATTTTCAAATTATACCACTTAATAATGACACTTCTGATTTTGAAAATACATTAGAATTTATCAAGAAAAAATAAGATAGTACTTACTCTAACTTTATGTGTTTTTATTGTGTTTATTGATTCGTTCACTATATTGAATATGAAAATTAGAGCCGGGCCAGGCATTACAATCTGAGGGCCACGTCTCGTTGGTCCGGTTGTGCCCTATACAATAAATGTACTTGTTCTCCTTCTTCCCTTCTAAGCCAATAATTAGAAAAATGGAGCAATTATAGGGGTCGTAGAATAAGTTTATTATAAAAAAAAATTACTAATGTTTCGCCCCTTCTGGAGGGCTACAACAATTTTCGAGTTATCTCACCATTGTTTCATATTTATATAAATTACTTGCTATAGTTTTCTTAGTTAAGTAAAAACATTCAATCGGTGTGAGTGCAACAATGATACATCAAATAATAAGCAAAACACTCAAGTCCAAAGGACGATAAAAATAAAATAAACTGATTAGAACGGGTAATTACAATTGAGTATATAAATAAAATAGTAAATAATATAAGCAGTTTTTAAAAAGTATTGTAGCGAACACGAGCGTGTTTGTGTGCGATCGGGCACATGTGTGCGTGAACGGCTTATCGTCGCGGGCGCCTTTCTTCATGTGCGCCGTATTTGTAAATGTGTGTTGTACCTGCGTTCTAGTAAAACAGTTCAAAGAAAAAATAAACTTTCCGGATATTTCCAGAATGTTTCCGAAAGTAAACAAAAGAGTATTTAAAGGAAGAGACGATCGCCGAGAGAGGAAGAAATA